CATTCAATATTGCTCTGCCCATCCTCTCCTTTCCATGAGTAACTGATTAGATACACATTAGACCTTTTCATTTTGTCTTCCATGGTCCTTAGTAGTGTTTCTTTTTGTTTCATTTCTTGGTCTAAGTAGAATCCTGGATAATTTCCCCAATTCTTTCTTTCATTTCTCTATTCTCTCTTCAGCTTTGTCTAAACTGATGTTAAACCTATCATTGAGTTTCTAATTTTAATTTCTATCAATTGCTTAGTTACTTGCTTTTTCTCATATTTTTTGGCCTTTGATTTCTTGAAACATACTAAGCATTCTTACATTTTATTTCTGATAATTCCATTCTAGGAAGTTTTCACGACTCTGAGTCTTGTTTAGTCTGACTCTTGGACCTGGTACTTTGTTGCTGTGTGTAGTAATTCTCTGCGGTGAACTCATTTTCCTTAAAACTTTATCTGTGGGAATTCTTTAAGGTCTGATATGAGTGTAGTTCTTCAAAGAAAAAAACTGTGCTTGCTTCTATCTGATGCTTGGGGATACTCAACCCTGACTATTTCAAATTAAATTGTTGGCTTAACCTTTTTAGGCCATCCAGGTAGTGTGAATTTGGATTGAAAACTTCATGAAAACTGAAAATTTACAATTATAAATTCTCAAGGAGTGTTTACTCCTGCCTTGGCTCAGTGCCATGGGCCAATATAGGCAGTTTTTCTTTCAGATAATGAGGGATTATTTCTCATTCATCTTAGATGTATCCCTTTGAGGATGCAGCCCTTTGGAGACCTGCCCATGTGTGTGCGTGCATGTTCATAAATAACCGCTTATTAGACACTCTACTTTGGGCAAGCCCTGGGCTTCACTTGAGGACCCAACCTTGAACACCTATGCCCAAAGTTACCTACTTCAGCAAGTCCCCAAAGAGACAGCATATTCTTTTTCTCTTAACTTCTGCCTTCACTTAGTCCCTGGCCTGCATGTTCCTTACTTTCTTGTTCGTTCATGGCTACATTTCAAGAAGTGGATTTCTGGGGCGCCTGGGTGGCTTAGTCGGTTAAGCGTCCGACTTTCGCTTAGGTCATGATCTCGCGGTTCGTGGGTTCAGGCCCCGCGTCGGGCTCTGTGCTGACTGCCAGCTCAGAGCCTGGAGCCTGTTTCAGTCTGTGATTCCCTCTCTCTCTGACCCTCCCCTGCTCACACTGTCTCTCTCTCTCTCTCCTAGAAATAAATAAAAACATTAAAAAAATTAAAAAAAAAAAGAAGCGGATTTCTATGTTTTACTTAACATTTTAGTTGTTTTCAGTTAGTTTTCGTAGGCTCTTTCTTCATCATGCTCCCAGCAAACACATTACTCATATATATTAAGACCTTCCCATGTTCCTAGAGGAAACTGATCTAATTTTATTTTCTCACATTAACCTAGTTTGAAGGTAATATTAATCTCATAAAATAAGTTGGTAGTGGTCTCTCTTTTTCCTATCCTCCAAAAACAGTTTATATATAATAGGAATTATTGGCTTCTTGGTGGATTTATAAAATGTATCTGTAAAACCATCTGGGCCTCATGTTCTTGGCAAAGCTGGGAGAAGGCAGACTTCAGATTAGTGATTCAGAGTCTTTAAGGTTACTAATTTATTCAGATTTTCCATGTCTTCTTGAGTTAATTTTGATAACATATTTTTCTAGAAAATGAGTTTTTCAAGTTCACTGGCATATAATTGTTCACAATATTCTATGCCTTATAAAATTTCTATATTATATGAATACCCCTTTAATTCATAATACTTTTTCTTTTTTACCAGTTTCATTAAAGGCTTGTCTATTTGACTAGTGTTTTGACCTATTACTTTTAATTTTTTATATTTAAACATCATTTTCTTATTTCTTTAGATTTTCTTTCGGATTCTTTTTCTGGTTTCTTGAGTGGAGAGGTGAACTTAACTCATTTACTTCCAATCTTGTTTTTCTAATAAAGGTATAACAAGTCAATCACTTTAGCAGTATTCTACAGATTTTGATGAAATCTTTATCATGTAGGTCCATGTATTTTATAATTTCCACTGTGGTTTATTCTTCAATATGTGAGTTATCTAGGAGAGCATTTTTTCCTCAAGTTCCCAAGCACATTAAAAAAAAAATGCTGCCCTTTATTTTAACGTGCTGTGAGGATGGAGACTGTATCTAAATGGTTATGATTTCCTTTGTGATCTAGTATGTGGTCAATTCTTGGAAATAGTCTATGTATACTTGAAAGGGATATGTATTTCCTGTTCCCTGGGTGTAGCATTCTTTTGATCCATTTAAAGTTTAAATTTGGTTTTCACCATTTCTGCGTTCTCGTCTGCTTGAAACATCAGTTTCTGGTACAGTTGGTTTAAAATCTCCCACAAGGATTGTGAACTTGTCAATGTCTCCTTTGAAATTTTTTTCAGGTTCTTTTTTTTATTTTTATTTTTTTGCTTTATGGAGTTCATGGATAATCACAGCTATATTGGTAGGTACTTAGTTCAAAATGACTGTACTGTCTTGGGTATTTTCATTTATTGTTATTAATCTCTTTATTTGTATTAATACTTTTTGTCTTAAATTCTAGTTCTCTCACATTAATGTTGCTTTTAACCATTTTTTGTGTGTGGGGGGGGGAGGTCTGACACATTTTTGCCCACCTCTTCCTTTTTCATCTTTCTGCAAACTGTTCTATCTTGGTGCCCCCTAGACAAGCATATACCTAGATTCTCCCTCTGTCTCGTCTTGTTAGTCTGTTTACATTTACGGTGAATACCAACTATTTACATTTATTCTGTGTTTTCTAAAAGTAACGTTTTCCTTTGTTGTTTCCCCACCCACCTTCCTGCCTTCTACGGGGCTGAGAGGATGTCTTTATTCTTCTTGTCCCTGTTCCCTCCCTCATTCCCGCTCCTCCACGAACACCCAGACTGGGAAGCCGTAGCACAGACTGCCAGGCTCGGTGCCTACCTCATATTCAGCATCTTTTTTTTTTTTTTTTTTTTTGCAACAGAATACTTACTTCTAGCTAGGTGGACTGCTGACCAGAATAAAAATGCACTTCCCAGGTTCCCTGGTAACTTGGTAGAGAAAATGAGATGTAGCCAACATGCTGTGTGAGACACCCAGGAAGTCTCTTAGAAAGGGAAGAAGCCCCAGCTGCCATCTGGGGCCAGGAGGATGGATGCCAAGCACTAGTGCGGTTGAACAGAAAGACAGAAGGAAGCGAGGTCCCTAACGACCTTAAGGCTGACATACCTGTCCTGGAATACCTTCTGTACTTTATTCACAGGAGAGAGAAATAAATGTCTCTCTTGTTGGAGCCACTCATTGGGGCGGGGGGGGGTGTCTTTCTTTTATTAGCAGCTGAATGCAATTCTTGATACAGAAATTACAGATGGTTCTACAATTTCTATTTTTATTTAGAAAGAGGGAGTATGCATGAGAGCAGGGGAGGGGCAGAGAGAGGGGGAGAGAGAATCCTAGGTAGGCTCCATGCTGGGCATGGAGGCCCCCGAAATGGAGCTTGATTTTATGACCCTGAGATCATGACCTGAGCTGAAATCAAGAGTCAGACACTTAACTGACTGAGCCACCCAGGCACTCCTAAAATTTGTGTTTTAAAAATGCAATTTTAGAAAATAAAGGTGATTCTCTTCCAGTTAATGAACTATATCTAATATATTTTATAAATTATAACATATTCTATAAACATGTTTTATAAACTTCCGTGTCCTATCCTGTTTCTTCTGTCACACGCCCTCCTTCTAGGTTCACCTTCCCTCTTGCAGGATGACGCAGGTTGGAGCTGACATGCACAGAGAAGCTAAGAGACAAGAGGAAGACTTCTAACGGTGTTCTGGTCTTCGGTCCGGGTATCCTCACCCCTGCCTTTCTGGAGGTTTGATTCCACAAGCCAACTAATTGTGCTTATTTGTCATTATGTGGGACCAAAGAACCCTGACAAAAGGAAATAGAAAGCTACTAAACAGATGTGTTCTTGTGCATTTGCCTAATTTATCCACAGTGAAGTAACCAGAAACAGTATAGGTTTAAATTCTTAGAAAGGAAATTGTTAAAAAAAAAAAAAAAAGGAAAAAAAAAAAAGGTTAGTAATGAAAAATAAAGTACACATGAAAAGCACCAGAACAAAGAGAGAGGAGAAAAAGAAAGAACTAAAAATAATGAGCCCCAGAATGCCGCCTAATTTATCAAACTTATCAACAACAGCAGTTTGGGCTAGAAATCTGCTCTTTAATGAGGGGAAACAGACTAAAGTTATCAAACAGTATTAGACCTGAAAGGAACAATAAAAAGCAGAAGCAATGGTCAATAATACAACATTTTATTTCAACTATTTGCAACAGCTTAAGGACAACACTTAAATACTACACTTCCTCTTGAGATTCTAGCTGGTCATTTTATATATGGTCACGAGATACAGATGGCATATTACTATTTTTTTTAATCTTTATTTCCTTTGGGAGAGAAAGAGTGTGAGTGGGAGAGGGGCACAGAGAGAGAAGGAGAGTGACCTGAGCCCAAAGAGTAGGACATTCAACTGACAGAGCCACCCGGGTGCCCCTGGCATATTACTATTTAATTCAAGATTTTTTTTTAAGCCAAACCCTCTCTTCAGTATAGGACTGAAGCTCATTTTGTCAAGCACACACTCTACTTTAGTTATATACATATATTTTTTAAAGATCTCACAAAGAGTTTCCCTTTGTCAACAACAGAAAAAGCTCAAATTTAACAAAAAGCATTTCATCTGGCACACAAACAACTCTTTCACCCAGCCATGTTGAAAAAAAAAAACAGGGAGAAGAATTCTATTACAACATTCATTTTAAATACATATCCTTTGGCACGATTTATCATAATGACCTAAAAGTGAATCCTGCATCATTCTCTATAACATGTATCAAGAGGGAACCAATGACACCAAATGGTGCCGACTACCATCAAAAGTGGTGATAAAATGGATATGTAGAAAAGAAAATAATTACCTTTGATGCAAGGTTGTCCACCAAAGCAATCATAGAATTCTTAAACAAGGTGGCAGCAGTTAGAGGTCGCTTGGTTACCTCTGTAATACTCAGTTTGCCTTCGGGCCACATATTCTTCAGCACAGGATTTGAACTGAGAAGCACAGAAAGAGCAATGCGAATGTTACATTCAAATAAGCTGAACAGAACCTGCTAAGGGCTGCAACCTGGAGCCACAAGTGGACTGCACCCTGGGGCCACATGTGGACTGCACCCTGGAGTCACAAGTGGACTGCACCCTGGAGTCACAAGTGGACTGCAGACCAGAGTCACAAGGCCTACTTGGAAAAAAGAATCCATCCAGAAAATTATGCTGAGAAAGCGTAGTGGCAGATACCATATCACAGATGGAAAAGATGTGTCCAAACTATCCTGCATTTAAAAAATTCTTGGGGCACCTGGGTGATTCAGTTGGTTAAGTATCCTACTCTTGATTTCAGCTCAGGTCATGATCTCATGGTTTGTGGGTTCACGCCCTGTGTCAGGCTCTGCTGACAGGAGCCTGCTTGGGATATTCTCTCTCTCTCTCTCTCTCTCTCTCTCTGTCTACCCTGACCCTCTCTCCCTCCCTCCCCAAATAAATATGTAAACTTAAAGAAAAAAGAGATTCTTGGGGCACCTGGCTGGCTCAGCTGTGGAACATGTGACTCGATCCTGGGGGTCATGAGTTCAAGCCCCATGTTGGGTGCAGAGATTACTTAAATAAATAGACTTCAAAAAGTTCTTTAAGCTTCTTAAAGTGATATCTATATTATCATTACCTAGGATCCTCAAATGATTAACACATTTCTTACTATACATAAAATCCAAAGATTTGGGTGGTCCCTGGAGGAGGACAAGCCATTAGTGAAAACCGATACGCAATGTGGCATGGCAGAAAACACGGGCGCGAAAGCAGCTTCTTGTCGTAAGAAACTCACACAGAATAGATAACATGACAAAAAGCCAGCTCCCTCTAACAAGACAGACAGGAATATAAAAGAACCATGTATACACTGCCATCTAGTAAGTCCCTCACTGCAGCTGAATCTGCGCACTCATTTATTGACAGTTACAGTATTTTATCGATGTGACACTAAGAGCGTTGCCATCCAATTCCTATGGTGTACTTCAGGCCAGTTTCAAGGCTAAAAATTATACAGAAATCATTAGTTAGCTCTGTGGACTTATTTTCTAAAACATGCATGGTGGTCTCAACTCCGATTTGCTTCCTGTTTCATTTTGGGTGCCTTTGATTTTAAAGTAACTGGAACTTAAAATGCTACTTCCTAAAAACTTTCCTCCTTCCTTCCCTCCTCCCTTCCTCTCTTCTTTCCCTCACTCCCTCCCTCCTTCCTTCCTTCCTTTCTGTCCTTCCCTCCCTCCTTCCTCTCTCCCTTCCTTCCTTCTTTCCCTCCCTTCTTTCTCTTCCTAACCCCTTCCTTACTTTCTTCTTTCTTTCCCCCTCCTTTCCTTCTTTCCTCCCCTCCTCCCTCTCTCTCTCCTATCTGTGCACAGTTGACACATGACGTTACATCAGCTGCAGGTGTACAACACAGTGACTCCACATCTCTACATGTTATGCAGCCGTCACCACAAGTAGCTACCATTTGTCACCCTACAATGCTATTTGTCAGAAATCTTTTTTTTTTTTTTTTTTTTTTTTAATACTTGGGGGCTGAGAAGAGAGAGAAAGGACTCAGCAAGGACATTCTCTGCTACCTGCTAACTGTATTTACTACGGCCATCGCTTTGCCCGCTGTTCTTTCCCTGGTGTAAAACTGAGAAAACTGAGGTGGCTCCCCAAATACCTAGTAGCCTTCTGCACGAAGAGGCTCAAAATAACAGCTGTGAGATGCTAGAAAAAATGCCCAGAGAGCAGAGAAGATAAATGGGGGGCTGAAGACTGACCACGTCTGTGCAGAGCGGTACTTCCACCCCTCACTGCTGCCAGCGAGTGGTGCTGACTACCATTGGAAACGGCGCTAAAACAGTCCCATGATCTGTGTGTGGCTCAGGGACCCCGTTTTACTCCTTTCTGCTCCTAGTCCCTAGTTTTCCAGTGATGCACGCAACCATCACGTTATAGCATAAAGGCATACTGTTTTTCCCAAAATCTTCCATTCTTGTCTTTAGCAGAGAGAGAATTTAAGGCAATGGTTTTCAACCATTAGCGCAGAGGGGGCCTGGATGTCTCCCTGACACTTACTAAATAGAATTTCCAGAAAGTAGAACATGTGTCCTTTGAAAATTCTGATGCAGACCAAAGACTGAAGATCACAGACTTTGGGTCCATGCAGTTTCTGCCCCAAATTCCACCTTACTCACTGTTGGCCATACTGAGAGATTATTCCCATATTACTTTGTAAATGGAGGGAAGGGAGAAGGTTGGAAATGAAGGTAATGAGATGTTTATTACAATTACTAATAAATAACAGAATTCATACATAGTGAATCAAGAGATCCATACAGTCATTCTAAAGAGAAAAAACTTTTCAGGCCAGTAAGTCATGAATGTAATATTAAAATAGTTTTCAAACATCTAAAAGAACCCTTTTCTTAAAAGGAAATCTTATTTATCCAGAAACCCAGCAGGTTTAAGAGAGAAGACAGAACTCACGTGGCTTAGTAGTGAGATAGTAAAGAGTGAAGTCTGTGCACCTGGCATGTCAGCTGCTCGCCCCTTTCCTCTCCATTTACACACACAAGCAAGTAAGCATTATGGATTCTATGGGTAATACATTTCACTTTCAATTAATAAACTAGAATTCTCACTGCTATCTGACTCCCCAAGCAGGTTTTCTAATAGGGGAGAACAGCCTGTTATACCAATGCAGATACTCCATTCCATGTGACGGTCAGATTTTTCACTGGAAATAAACCCACACACAGCTTTGTTTCTACATTAATCCTGTGAGCCTGGGATTATGTGAGCACACCACTAGAAGATGGAGCTGTTCACACTGAGCTGGACCTGTGGGGGCCCGAATAAATTCATGAAGGTAATGAATGCTGGGGTGCCTGGGTGGCTCAGTCGGTGGAGCGTCCGATTTTGGCTCAGGTCATGATCTCGCCATTCGCGAGTTTGAGTCCCACATCAGGCTCTGTGCTGACAGCTCTGAGCCTGGAGCCTGCTTCAGATTCTGTGTCTCCGTCTCTCTCGGCCCCTCCCTTGCACTCTGACTCTCTCTCTCTCTCTCAAAAATAAATAAACATTAAAAAAAAAAAAAGAAATAAAGGTAACAAATGCCACCTTCTATAGCCTCTTGCTACACAGCCTGACTGCCTTCCCCTGGCAACACACGCTGATATTGCCACTGGCAGACGAAGGCCATTTTTCCAATTTGATTTTGCCATTACCTACACAGAGCAATGCCAGACTGTGTCATTTGTCCCTCAAAATGGGTGCATTTTATCTGAGAGTTCAAGCACTGGAACTCCTTTCTGAAAGTCCCTTCTCCCCATGACCAGTTCTTACACAGAACCCTCTCGCGTTCCCATGTCTCTATAACTTTCTGGTGCTGAGAGCTTCATCGCTTGGTGGCTTCATCATCCATACGGACTAACCATTTAATAGCAAAACTTCTTGAAAGAACCATTTAAACACAATGTCTCTACATTCTCACTGTCCATATTCTCTGGAGCCCACTTCAATCAGACATTTGTTTTCACGACTCTGCTGAGACCAGGGCTGTCAAGGGTCTGACTGACCTTCACGTCAGCAAATCCCATGGTTAATCTTGGCCCTCACATCATTTTGCTTTTGATTGTATTTCACACAGCTTATAATTTTTTCTTAAAGCACTTTTTGGGGCACCTGGGTGGCTCAGATGATTAAGCATCTGACTCCTGATTTCAGGTCATCATCTCACAGTTCACGGGATTGAGCCCTGTGTTGGGCTCTGCATTGACAGTGTGGAGCCTGCTTGGGATTCTCTCTCTCTACCCCTCCCCTGCTCTCCCTCTCAAAATAAATATTTTAGAAAATCACTTTTTCTTTTGGCTTGGCCTCTGTGACACTAGATTCTGATTTTCTTCCTACTTCACTGGCAGCCCTGTCTCCTCTGCTAGTTCCTTCCTTTTTGCTTGACTCTGAATGCTGGAGAGTGTCCGGGATTAGTCTTTTTGACTTCTTCTCTTCTATTCATCTGTGCTCACCCTCATTAATCTTATGGCTTTAAATACTGTCAACAGACTAGTGACCATGAATTTATATCTCCAATTCCTCCTGTACCACAAGTTCCAGATGCAGACCTGCAATTGTCTAACTGGCATTTCCAGTGGAATGTCCAACATTATAATACGTCCAAGACAATACGCTGATCTCTCCCACCCAGTCAGCCCCTCCCATGGTCTTCCCCACCTCAAGCATCCCTTCCCCATTGCTCAGGCGTCATCTCAGATTTCTTTTTTCTGTCTCACACCACACATCCTATCCATCAGCATATCTTGTTGGCCTCACTTTTTGTCTGAATTACTAAACTAGTCTATTTGGTCTCTTCATTTCTACTCTTGCCCTTTATAGTATGTGTTTTACATAGTAGCCCTAGTGAATTCTTTAAAATATAAATCGTGCTCTGTCATAAATTCCAATGACTTCTCTTCCTACTTCATCCTTACCTTGGCTCACAGACTCTTCATGATCTGCGCCCCGCTGACCTTCTTAAATTCATTCCGTATTACTCTCCCCACCTGACATTCTGCTTTTGGCAGCACTAGCCTGTTCTCAAGATACCCATGCTCACTCCCACCTTGGCGCCTTGGCACTGGCTGCTCTCTGCCTGGAATGCTCTCCTCCACCACGTGTTTGTGGCTTACTCCCTTACTTCATTCAGGTCTCTGCTCAAAAGTCACATATTTTTTTAATGTTTATTTATTTGAGAGAGAGAGAGAAAGGGCATGAGTGGGGTAGGGGCAGAGAGAGAGGGAGAGAGAGAATCCCAAGTCAGTTCTGTGCTGTCAGTGAAGAGCCCAATGCAGGGCTCAATCTCATGAACCATGAGATCATGACCTGAGCCAAAACCCAGAGTTGGACGCTTAACTGACTGAGCCACCAGGCGTCCCAAAAGTCACCTCTTTTAAGAAGCCTTTTCTGACCACTCTTCTCGATAATGCCTCCCTTGCCCCTCCTTGTCTGTAACCTTCAGTCTCCTACCTACTTTATTTTTCCTCATGGCAACTTGTCACTACCGGGGAGTTATTTTCTTACATAAGTGGTCACCTCTGCTGGAGTAGAAGATCCATGCGAGCAGGGACAGAGCCTAAATTTTCTCACAGCTGGACTTCAGGGCACAGAAGAATGGATGGCTCACAGATGTGCAGCACATGTTTGACGGTCTCCTGACCAACTGACTACATAGATTTAGTCAATGAGGGACTACGTACCCCTAGTTCCAAAGAAGAAACTGGCTAAGCACCTCTCCGTCCTTATGGGCCTCTTTGCAAGGCATTCGTACTGGGTTTGAACTTACTATCCTTTGCCTGGTCTCACTTAGCCACATCTTTTCCACATTTTCTTGGACTGTGAAAAGGTTCTGTCCATCCAGATTCGGTCAACACTGATACCAGATATTAAAGTGGTCACTTAGTTGGCGGCAAAGGCACTACCATGGGAATCTGCCACTGGCCTACCTTGGGAACACTGGTAGGGGTGCCAGATGGATGGCAGTAGGGGACAGAAAAGCTGAGGCAACCCAATGGAAATCAAGGAAAATCCTATTAGCAGCAGGGTCCTGCCCTAAATCTATAATCATAAAGTAATATATTATGTCACTCATTCATTATGATCAAATAGAACCAGAAAATTTGCCAGAAGCTTTAAACAATTGTCACATAAAAGTGATCATGTACATACATATTATGTAATATATATGTCAAAGACCTTAATGGAAAGATAGTTAATAAAATTTTAATCCTACCTGTTATACATGAGGCGCTTGAAATCTTGAAACAAAGTGTCTTTATTTTTGTCAATAAATCCAATGACTGAATAGCTAAAAGAGAAAAACACACACACACACACACAGAAAACATGCATTATTCCCCAAGCAAGAGTCACATTTAAGCTTTTCTACAAATCTACAGGCCTTTCCACTGATAATGATGCAACCAGTTATCTGTAGAGCAGATACCATCCATTTTGTTCTGTGTTTAAAAATATCAGATTTACCTACTAAGTAGAGAGCATATTGTTTCTATTTCTCAAAAGGAGGGCAAACATCAGTACCGCCATTATGGTTAAGACTGCCATTTGCTACTGGTTTATTGCTTACCTCAGGTAGAGGACTCTTAAAAAGATAGCTGTGTTTATCATCCAGCACTGCTAAGATCAAAGCAAAACAGCAACAGACAGGAACTACTAGTCTCTTCCGGAGGGAGGTCAAGTGACTTGCCTAAGGTTCTCTCAGTGTATTCAGGGTGGGATAAAAGAATCCAAGGAGAACTGCAAAGGACGGTAAGATTTAGATAAGCAGAGGGGAAAGAGGCTGGGGGATCACACAGGGAAGCAGAGCAGGTGGAGGGGGAGCAGCAGGCACATGCATGGAGACTTGGGAGAAAACCAGGCGGGACAGCGCTCATGGTCCAGAGGAGGGACGGTGCAAGGTACTGAGGGTCCACATAAATTTGAGTTGGTGACGGAGGGATAGGAGCTGCTCTGTTGCAGTGGTGGGTGTGGACTCCAAGGGCAGCAAGGGTGGTAGTGGGGTCAGAAAAGTAATAATGGAGGACTCAGGGTGATGAGGACAGCGGCTCCAGGGTGGGGCAAATAGGAACTCTGGATGCACCCGCTCCCAACGGCTCTACCCTGTTGCTTGTCTGTATTTTCCTCCGTAACTATCATAACAATGTAGATAATTCTCAGATGTCTAACCCAGACCCCTCACTGATGTTCCTGCCTCACATATTTGATTCTCTAAGAAGATTCCTCCAGGCTGCACTGTCCATAGGAGCTTCAAGGTCACCAGGTCCAAAACGACTTCCTGCCTCCCGCATCCTAGATCTGCTTCCTAAGACCTTCTGAAACCCTGAAGCCACCTGACTCTATCTAGAGTCTAACCTGCAACATTCAAACTTCAAAGTCCTTATTTTGGCCTTTACAACTCATTATGATTTGATCTCAATCTACTTTTCCAGGCGTTTCTACTTTATGCTACAAAAAGGACACAGTCCACTTAAATGGACCTAGTTACTATTTCCTGAATATTTCTAGCACCCTTCCCACTGCTCCCTTTAAAAATAATTCCTACCATCTAGGAACTAGCTACCATCAGCCTTCCTGGGTTTATCACACAGAAGTATTACATCATGTGCTTATTCTAAATTCTAACAATACTGTTATTAGTCACGTGATTATTTTAGACCATCTTTTACTGTCCTGATGAACGCATGTAAATGTGTGCATATATATGTATATGCATACTTATGGGTATAAACACACACACACACACAACCATATATGTACATATGCATTTTACATGGGAAGCTCTTCGTGGGCAGACACCAGACAATACATTGTGCACACAGGGGATCTCCAGTAAGAATCTAGAAAAGGACTGAAGGGCTGAAAGAGAGAAGGGGAAGTCTGAGGCATTGAACATCCTCAAAAGGGTCGGCTAGCATTCAGGCTAGGAGTTTAGAAACTTAGTTACTGTCTCAGCTATGCCATAAACTTGAAGTGTGACCTTGGGTAAAAATTTACGGAAGTAAAGACTTTACCTAAGTCTTTTAATCTGTAAATCAAAGGGGGCAGACTATCTGGCCAGCTCCGCTTTCATGCTTCTGAACTGTATGAAAGTGTCCTATAAGTGAGGCCTGCATTTTCAGCAGGAGATGTCTGTACAGTGCTGGATCCTCCTTCTTAGTATTCTGGAACCTGGGAACAGGACCAGAAAAAGTGGGAAATTCCAGCCACTATTCCAGCCCTAATGGCTAGTTTGACAGATGGGGTGATAATCTTGAGCCATATTATTTTATGATTCAGAGTTTTAATTTAAATCAGGAACAGCTATTAAAATTTCTTCAAATGTCTTTTTGGCATTTGTAGAGATGATCATTTGACTTTTTGCTGTGTAATCTCCTCCTGTAATGGGTTATGATGAGAATTCCTAATGTATAAAATGAGGATGAAGGAAAAGAGGAACCTTAAAACAATAACAAGGTAAGAGGCAGTGTTTAGCAGACAAAGCATTCTGAGTGGAGTAGGCTGAAGAATGTCTCCCCACCCCCCACCCCCTGCTCCCCGGGAAAGACATTCTTGTCAAAATCCCTGGATCCTGTGAATGTGACCTTATACTATGACAAAAGGCATGATGATGTTAAGGATCTTGAGAGAAGTGTATCCGGTATTACCCAGGTGGGCCCTAAATGTCATCACAATTGTAGTTTTAGCATAGAGGCCGAGGGAGATTTAACAGAGACATGCTGAAGAGAAGGCAGCACTGTGACCACGGAGGCAGAGACTGGAGAGATGCAGCCATAAGCCACTAGAAGCTAGCAGAGGCGAGGGACAATCCTCCCCCAGAACTCCCGCACGTGGCCCTGCACCTGGAGTCCGATTTCTGCCTCGAGAATCAGGAAAGGATGCATTGTTCTCTCTTGTTAAGCCACCCGTTGGTTACAGCAGCCCCAGGGAACTCAAAGGCCAAGGTGGTTATATTTTTAGTCATATTTTTTTTTTTTATCAATGTCTACTTTTCTTACACTGTGACCAGGAAAGGTGGCTTATGAGAGTTTTCCTTTTCCAATTTGAAAAATAGTACAGCAAAACTAGTTTTCCTGTAGTTATCCAATTGCTTATAGTTCTTCACACACAATGGTGGCTCTTGGCTCTGGACTGCTCTCCCTTCTCCCTGCTCCCTTCCTAACTCTTGCCCCTGACTAAGGCTCTCACTTTTAGGACTCAGCTTGGATAGCACTTCCTCCACCCAAACCCCTCTACACTCTGCACTGGCTTAATTATTTCTCTTCCATGTTTCTGTAAGTCCTGTGCCTCTCAAGTTTGACCCTTCTCACTCTTTGTTATAGTGACTTGTGGTATCTGCTTGTACCCTCCAGTGAACTGTTAGCTTCTCCAGAAAAAGACCCATCTTGTCCATCTTTCTATCCTAGTTTTTAACATTCTTCCATGATTTATTTATTCATCAGCTGATCTGAGTGGCAAGTATGCCAGAACTGTGTGTGGCCGCCATGGTGTGTGTTCAAGAAATGTTTGAAAAACAGGGAATGAATGAAGCTACGCCATTTTTTTTTAAGTGAGGAGATGAAAATATATTGGCCTATGAAATGACAGAAAAATGCAAATAAATAGGGAAACAGTTTTAATTTTCTCTGGTTATATTTTCTGAAATGAAGCTGCATGCCAGTCATCGTGTCAGGTACTAATGTAAGATACTCACACTACATCACCCGCATAATGTCGAATTCGAAAGTCTCGATCAAACTCCAGGATTTTGTCTGAGGCACAGAGCTAAGAAATCAATAGAAAGATTATTGTGAATACAGCTATTTTCACTTTCCTAAACATATGTTCCAGTTTCATATAAGATGATGATAGTATCACAAATCAGGATACCATTATGAATGAGATAATGTCCTACTGGGTGGGGCTTATGTGACAAAGCCTTCAAGCTTTCACTGGAAATCCACATAGCTGGACTTCATTTCCCAGCCACCCTTGCAGCTGGATACAGCCAAGTGGCCAAGTGCTGGACAATGGATGGTGAGTGGAAAAGAAGTACAGCTGCGTCAGGCCAAAGCTGGTAAGAAGTGGGTGATCCTCTCTGCACTTCCTTTTTCCCTCCCATTAGCTGGATGCAGAGAAGATAGTGCTGACGGGATGGAAGAGCCGGAAAACGGAAGAAGTCCAGGACCCTGGTGAAGAAACGGACTTCTACGGTCTCTGATGCTGAAATCTTGGCTGCTGACTGAACGTGGCCTAGCCTATCTGGACAGTCTCTTTCTCTTCTACACTCCACTTAAGGAGCACAACACGGAGGGCTTGCTGTCTGCTAAGCATATACATCTCAGTCAGTCCTCACAACTGATAAAGTAACTAAGTATTACAAGCTCTCTTTTACGTACTAAGGCCCAAGTCACATAGCTTGTAAGGATTCTTGGGACCAGATGCGATGTCTGTGCTCTCCCATGTACACAACGGGCAGGCTAACCTGTGTTTTGCTAAGCTGGGACTCAAGTTCAGGTCTATCATTTCAAAGAAGATCAACTTCCTGCAGCTCTTTTTCATGGAAGAGGAATACCTTCCGGACCAGCAGTTTTTATATAGTCTGGTGGTCTGCATAGCTTTCTGTAATTTTCCTTGTTATAGTAACACCCAGCCTTCTTTGCCTTGTGAAGATCACTTGACATCCTACAGGTTCGGGAGCAGATATCCAAGAACCCATAAAACACTGAGTGCAGTTACGTACAAAAACTTAAGTTGCAGTGTGGTGGCTTCTATACTGGACTAGTAAAGGAATAATTAGTTTATTAGTTAGACAAATGAATAATTACAGGAGATGAGAGATTTCCAAGGTTCAAATCTTGGCTTTACCAGATACTTGCTCTATGTCCTTTAATAAATAATTTTTAACTTAACTTTTTAAATTTAATAATTTATAAGTGGTTAATTTTATAATTTTAAACTTTAATAATTACTTATGTCAGAGAGTTGTTCTGAAGGTTAAATGATATATGGAGACCAAAGTATCTAACATACAGAGGGATCTCCAAAAAAACTGAATCCCTCTTTCCTTCTCTCTCTTGTTAACCATTTTACAAAATCTTTTTATTTATAAAATTCCTCATGGAAGAGGACCCAGGAGATGCCTACACTAACTGATTATTCTCACATCTGGATACCACAAAGTCTCAACCGATATGAACACAGATTTTAGATTTTTCTTTACTTTCTGAAAATAATAAGTTATGCACATAATTTAACTTTGCATGTTCACAATACTTTAAATAGTAATTTCATGGTTTACATGATCATTTACCTGTCTCTCCGTGATAACTTTAATGTCTAAGAAACACTTTAGCCCCTAAATAAACACAAGGCAGAAACTTCTTATTTCACATGCCAATAATTCAAGGTAACATGTAACCAATAGCAAATGATAACAACTGACAGTGTTCAGGAGAACAGTATTATTTAATAGAAAGGTTCATAGTGATGAAAATCTCCTGAATGCTTGGTTATTTCTTTTCTTTCCCTCATTAGGGCAATAATCCCAGAAATTAACACATTTTAAAGGTCTAATATCTCAAGACTTGTCTGGGGGACGACAAGTCCTAGAGGAAGGAGCTACCTGGTTTGAGAGTCAGAGAAACCTGGGTTTCCACATTTAAAGGGAAAAAAAAAAGGGTGCCTGGGTGACTCAGTTGGTTAAGTGTCTGACTCTTGGTTTCAGCTCAGGTCATGATCTCACAGTTCGGGAGTTTGGGCCCCACCTTGGGCTCTGTGCAGGCAGCTGCAGAGCCTGTTTGGGATTCTCTTTCTCCCTCTCTCTGCTCCTCTCCTGCTATCTCTCTCTCTCTCTCTCAAAAATAAACATGTTTTAAAAAATTAAAAAAAAGGAAAAAATAAAGAAAATTCCCATCTCCACAGAAAAACTACCATTTAGCAATTTCTTATTAAATCAGTGGCAATTGCTTAAAAGTACTATATGCATAGTTCCTAACTTAAGAATGAGATTATATTTCAAAATATTTGGTGAGCAAATTTAATTCAAGTTTATAAATGGTCAGGGCAAATCAAAATGAGGTGATTTCTCATATAAGATTCATAGTTAATTTATTTAAATAAAGTGGAGCTTTGCATGTTTTAGTTTTAAATTCAATATTCCATAAGATCTATTTGGTATAATCGTGACTGATTCAATTCAATTTTACAAACACTGATTATCTACCATCTGGTAGGCAGGATGTAGGTGAGTATCCAAACCTGAGTTGGGATTATGAAGGACGTAGGTAGCCTATCTCTCTAAGACAGGACATCTGCCCGTGGAACACCCTCTTTCAACAGATTGCTGTAAATACTGTAGGTTGCTCTTAACCTGGCTCATGGGTCTGTCCCCAGCACCCAGGATTACCCCTGGAAACAGCAAGTACTTGTGTTATATGTGGGAAATGACTGAAGGAACACCTTCAACCAGAACCCTCACATCAAGGTCAGACTATAGTATCTGACAGCTGACCAACTTGTAGTAGGGATCAAGTCAATTCTCAGTAACAGACCAAGAAGAATCTTTTAGAAATAAACGAGGCCTAACATAAATATCAGCCGGTAATCTATTTCTTGATGATTTGTGCTTTTATCTAGTTAATTGTGGATTCTTACTCTTCTGATTGCATGATTTCGAAGGGGACAAAGTCAGAAAATAGATTTATTTGTGCCAAAAAAAAAAGGCAGTGTGTCAAAGATTTACATGGAAATATGGAGGAGCTGAAGTGTTTGCTCCTTTCTGTATGGAAGTGATGGCGCACAGGGCCTGTTTCTACTTGAGTTTATGGCTGCTCGACAAGCCTGTATTTGTAGAGTGCCGGTGGACGTCCAGGAGGATGGTGTGCCCCTCCCAGGACAAATACTAAGGGCAAACAGTATCTGCGAGGCCTGGCACAAAGGTCTGATAAGCACAACTGCTACCGCCCATTACAGAAATGTCATCTGTTTAATGACATTTTTAGAATGTGAAAAATGGGGAGTTTAAAAGGATACCCATTCATTTAAGGGGACAAGTTCCCTTGGAAAAATGAGAATCACAGCTAGAATTCCTCTCATTTCAAGAAAGTCACATAGCCTGAAGAACTATGGCAGGGGACACATACTACATTTTATAACTGATGTCAGTAAAAAGTCAAGGACAAAAGCTGTTTTCAGTGCCTGAATTATCAGCTGCAGAAGCAAAATTCTAGCACATGAACAAGGCCTCTGTACCTATTGGTTATAAATGACATCATGCTTTCTAAAATCATGTTCATTTTTCCTATTTCTAGCAAATTGAATAGTCTGGAGCTCCCTCTCCTGGATATTATGATTTTTATCAATCTTGTCATCCCATAAACCAGAGAGGCAGAATTTATTTATAGCAATAAGTCACTTAATGGCTGCTTATGGCCTTTCTTGCTTAGTTGAGCAGACATTCTTTTAACCCAACATTTAAGACCAGTTAATTGTGTCAAACAGTGGGGAAAATCTTACACATCAAAAGGAGAGGAAGTTCTCATTACCTTTCGGCTGGAAAAATGGCCATGTTTGCCCAATTTGCTGTTAAGCGCTTCGAGGAACATTTCGTCGGTGACCTTGCCGACATTCATGCAGGCGTCGTCTAGGATTGCGATGATCCCCTTGTGCTGCTGCTCCACAAGGTCCACGATGATCTGATTGTTGAAGTAATCAATCTGCAGGGCACAGCAAGGAAGCAGGTCCAGAGGGAGCAGGGACAAGGACAGGCAAAACACTGACGCCTCCACTGGTTTCTGGAGTTCAAGTCACCCTACCTTGGTGTTACACACGTGAGCAGCATTAATGAGGTCTAATGCTAAAGTGAGCACATGTTCTATCAGAGGCTTATCTTTTAATGTCTTTGTTGACTCTGTCATGAAACACTTTGTGTTATGTGAGTATAAGCTCAAGGCAAAAATGATAAAGTTGATGATATTTCTCTTTTGTTTGAATCCTATGCCTAACTCTACCCCTTCATACTCTCAATCCCCTGACCTGTGTGTCATTATCCACAAGACCCACACTCCACTAAGGACCAACAAGTAACCTTAAAGTATTACTTGGCATGTAACTTCATGAGGTTGAGGTACCATGCACACAACTTGAATTTTTAGTCGTATGGCCCTAGATGACTAAAACTCAAGAGAATATCCTCTCTAGCTTCCCCAAAGTTAAAAAGCATTCATGAGTCTAACAGAGTTTTGATATTTCTCTGGGAAAAATATAAAAAATCTAACTCTGAGATGAACGTTTCTGCAAAAGTAAAGAATAAACTTTTTTGGGGCGCCTGGGTGGCTTAGTCGGTTAAGCGTCTGACTTTCGCTCAGGTCATGATCTCGCGGTTCGTGGGTTCGAGCCCCGTGTCGGGCTCTGTGCTGACTGCCAGCTCAGAGCCTGGAGCCTGTTTCAGTCTGTGACTCCCTCTCTCTCTGACCCTCCCCTGCTCACACTGTCTCTCTCTCTCTCTCCTAGAAATAAATAAAAAACATTAAAAAAAAAAAAAAAAAGAATAAACTTTTCAGGGGCCCTTGGGTAGCTTAATCAGCTAAGTGTCTGACTCTTGGTTTCGGCTCAGGTCATGATCTCACAGTTCATGGAATCAAGCCCTGCATCAGGCTCTGTGCTGACAGCATGGAGTTTGCTTGGGATTCTCTCTCCCTCACTCGCTGTTCCCCCCCACCCCCCAAAATAAATAAACATTAAAAAAAAAGAATAAGTTCCAAATAACATCTGCCTTTTCGGCAACTTCAATATACACAAAGTTTATCCAAAATTCTCCTGCTATACCTGTTTGCTCAGATGGTCTACAGAACACATCTCTCCACATGCACACCAGCCTAACTTAGGCTAGCTGTACATCATATGAAGATGGGCAGCCTGTTATCACACTTTAAGTCTTGTGTGCTCATGTGTCCCCCTCATTCAGGAGGTACCTAAACTTGAGTGTTGTCTCCATTACCTACTGTAAGATCTACACGTTCATTCATGATGGACTATTACAGTCGCACATGGATTCCTGCTCCAGCCGCTCATGCCAGCTGTCTGAGGGTTTCAGCTCTACAGCTACTCTTCCAAGTTCTCTTCTGTATCCATAGACTGAAAGTCTGCAGACTGGGTGGCTTCTACTCCCTCTTTTATATTTTCCGGGTTTGCTAAATCAGTGAGTCTCAGGAGGATGACTTCCCCCCAGGGGCACGTGCGTTGTCTGGGAATATTTTTGGTGGTCATGGCCACATGTGCCATGGAAAGAGGCCATTAAGCATCACAATGCACAGGACAACCCCCCAACAAAGATTTAGCTGGTCCAAAATGTCCATAGTACAGAGGTGGGGAAACCCCGGCCTAAATATTTACTTTTATTGTGGACATGTATTACATTTCCTAGTTAGGGAGAAAAGTTATTTCCATCTTTCTTTTTTTTTTTAACTTTTTTAAAAATTTTATTTTAATGTTTTTTTAATTTATTTCTGAGAGAGACAGCTCAGTGAGCAGGGGAGGGTCAGAGAGAGAGGGAGACACAGAATCTGAACCAGGCTCCAGGTTCTGAGCTGTCAGCACAGAGCCCGATGCGGGGCTCGAACCCACAAACCGTGAGATCATGACCTGAGCCGAAGTCGGACGCTTAACCGACTGAGCCAACCAGGTGCCCCTATTTCCATCTTTCAAAAAAAATATCGTTACTATTCTCAAAAAGCAGTAACTCTATATTAATTATTAGCTGAAGTCTTAGACTTTGGGAGTATGGAATTAAAGACTAAGTCTTCTGTCCCAGGGACAAAAGAATTAAGTCCTCTAAAGTTCCAACTGTATAACTAAAAGCGATTAGTCTTTGCTAACTTCAGTAACTTTTAGTTTGTAAGTTTAATGTTTACTTGAAACATGGCTTAAAGTCGTGGCTTCCAAACCAGGTTCTTCCACCAGCCTTGATTACCAGGAGGCTTCTTAGGGGGCAAGAAGAGATGTGATGAGGTAGCTCAGCAGCACAGAGGTCTCCCAGTCTCAGCCCAAAGAGAGCAGCTTTGTGTCTAACAGTCAAGATCTCTACAGCTAAAAATGACTTGTAAAGTACAGCACCAAAATCCTGTAAATGTCAGTTAGGGAGACAACCAAGCATTAGGGACCTTCTGATACAAGTCCACATGCCACTTCTGAAACAGTGGCAGAACAACACTGATCCTGAGACCATACAAGACTCCAGATCTAACAACTAAGGACATACACGGATCAGAGACATATATTAGATGGCACCTCGGGACTCCAGTGAGCAAAATCCAGTCTGTGGGAAGGTCTAGAGAACAAACAACTAGTTTTTTCATCAGAAGATCGGGGTGAAAAAAGAGATGGAGGAGTAAATCTACACATATGCGAGAGGCCTATCAACCAAGTGCAACATAAGAATCTTATTTGGATTCAAATTCAAACTGTAAAAACAAACCTGTAAAACAACTGAGGAAAAGTGAACACTGACTGGATATTTGATGATATTAAGGAATGACTACTACATTTTTCTACTTCGATAATAGTGCCATAGTTATGGTATTTGTACAAGGTTGTATCTTTCAGAGAAGCACATTGGAATATTTACAGATGAAACAATATGATGTCTGAAATTTGCTTCAAACTAATCTGGGGGTGGGTGGCTGGGTACAGATGACCCAAGACTGGCAACCCACTTATAAGTGTTATGGCGGGCGACTGGTCCATGGAGTTTATTATATTATGATCCCTGCTCTTATGGGTGTTTGAAATTTTCCATAATAAAAAACATTTAAAAAATCGATCACCGTGTTCAGAAATTGAGCTTTTTAAAGGAAATAATCACCCAGAATAGAGATTCTAATCTGGGGGGATCTGGCATGTAGGTTAGTACAGTAACAATTACCTTGGACTTAGCCTTGTGCTCCCTCTAGGACATTTATTTCCTGGTTTATTTTGCTAAGGATTTTTGCATTTTTAGGGCTTTTGCTCCTTTTTCAGATGTTTGGAATAGCCTACTACAACTGCTGACTTTTCTCCTTATCAGCTATGCCTGTGGAATTGGGACACCCCAATTATTAAAGGGTATTTTGGGCTTGTACCTCTGAATCACATCTAAATAACAAGTTTCATGATTAAATTTGCTATTAAAATCTAAGCTTTGGTTATAACTGTGTATTAAATTGTACACCAGGTCTGTTCTAAGAAAGCTGCCTCTAAACTTAATTGAATTACATCTTCAATGTGCTACGAGAGTTCACAGTGTAAATCAAAATTGTATGTAATCCTACTATAAAGTAATAATACACCTTTTGATTCATTTGTAAATCAGTAAAATTATACTAACAGAGCTGAACAAAAAATTTTTTATGGTATTCTGATGTTTAACACAGGATGAAGAGGCAAGTATGAAATCTGAGGCAGGGTACTATTAATTATACCACTGTCGCCCTTTCTGAATGGGAGGAGACAGGAAGTAGGAAGGTGGGAAGAAATATAAAAGTAACTTACATACAGCAATATCAAATAGCTTCTTACTATTAGATACTTAAAAAACACTGGCTGTATTGTCTGTTCTCTTTGGCAAGAGGATAAACACAGTTTTATAAACATGGAGACGTGTGGAAACTCAGAAGTTTTTGTCTTTTCTTTCAAATCTGTTCTCAAGATTGTTTACAAATACAAGTTTAAATGAAAAGTTTACGAGGTCTCATCCTGTCTTAAACAGGAGGTGTGATGGTAAGGAACAAGAGGGCCAAGGAAGCCACTCGATTTGGCTGTGAGCTCTGGGGGCCGTGTCCTGGGGCGGCCCTCACTGCACTGTTTGACAGGCAAGTGTCAGCACTCCCAAAGGGCCATGAGAAGGTGATGACAAGGTGTGACACGGAGGAAAGCCAATGGAGATGAATGTGAATGCAGGTGTGTTCCGGTACGGGTTTCAGAGAATAGAAACCATATTAACTGGAGACAGTAACAATGCCATTGAGATTACAGAGTAGAAATAAGAGGAGAAAGAAGAAGGAAAGAAGATAAACTAAATGTGGAAGCAAATCCAGCCAAATTAAGGCAAAAGGTCACTGTTCCCAGTGACTTCTGAATGACCCTGAACTCTGCTAGACAGATACAAACCAGAAAACCCGTGTGGCCTCAGCTAGAAAGTGCAAAGGGTGTAACTCAGCATTTCTCGGCACCGACAAGGCAGTCCGGCAAATGAGAGAAACTGCACCGTCACCCCTAAAGGTGGCTTGTAATTGTATATCCCCAAAAGGAAAGCTAATGTTTAGGTGTTGCACGTACTGGAGGAGATGAAAACAAAGCACCTAAACAGTAAGATCTGCCGTCACTGCCGCGACGGGAAGCACAACTCACGTGCTTCCAGGGGATTCCTTCCCGCTGGTACTCTTCCTGCTCTTGCTTCAGGACCAGCTGGATGAAGAGCTGCTGCAGCTTCTCGTTGCAGTAATTGATGCAGAACTGCTCGAAGCTGTAGGAAAAGAAGTCGATGAGGTTCTAAGAAGTAAAACGTAAACAACAGAGTTTTAAGTATCTTGTCCAGTTTACCTGTTGTTGTCAAAGATTTCAAAGCCGTAGATGTCCAGGACACCGATGACAGTGTTTTTCCCATGGACTGTGGTGTCGTAGTTCTTGACCTCAATAATGTCGTTGATGCGAGTAACAATCCAACAGAAAAGGCGCTCGTATATTGCCTGGAAGGAAAACGACATCATTAATTCCCAGGCCCCTCGTGGAACTGAGTCTTCTGTTTAGACCTGTGATAAGTTTTACTTTCCCATCTACCTTCTCCTTAACATCTAACGTAGCTGCTGTTACTCTAAACAGAAAAATTAGAAATGCACATCATCTGTTTAAAAAACTACATGATGAAAGGGCACCTGGGTGGCTCAGTCGGGTAAGTGTCCGACATCGGCTCAGGTCTTGGTATCTCGGTTCATGGATTCGAACCCCAAGTCGGGCTCTGTGCTGACAGCCCAGAGCCTAGAGCCTGCTTTGGATTCTGTGTCTCCCTGTCTCTCTGGCCTTCCCCTGCTCACACTCTTTCTACCTCCCTCAAAAATAAATAAAAACTATTAAAAAATTGTTTTAAATTAAAAAACTACATGATGTATGCAACACTAGAGTAAGTGGTTTGGGTTTTTAAAAGACTATTAACAGGCACGATGGTATTCCAACACCATTCCCAGGTGTGTCTCTGTGCCCGGCTATATCAATAATTTGCCTACTCCTTTATAGGATTTGTTTCATTGCTTTATTGTGAGTTTCATCAAGTATTAAAAAGTAGGGAACCAGGGTGCCTGGGTGGCTTGGTCTATTGAGAGTCCAACTCTTGATTTTGGCTCAGGTCATGATCCCTGAGTCATAGGATCAAGCCCCAGGTCAGGCTCCACACTGAGCATGGAGTCTGTTTTATATTCTCTCTCTCTCTCTCCCTCTACCCCTCTACCCTGCTCATGCATGCTTTCTCTCTCTCTCTCAAATTAAAAAAAGAAAAAGTGGGGAACCAATGAGTTAATATCTATGTTCCAGTAGAGCCCTATGGATTCTAAAAATATAAATATTGATTTATAATGCTACATAAAGATCTGGACCAAAGACTACAGTTTGAAGTCCTTGAGAATGAAACACATATCCAATACCCAAGGACACTCACGCCAAGATACACGTGGACAGAGGCACCACACACACACATGTACACGTCCTGATACAAACCCGCTCTGCAGTGCCATGTCTTTAGCAAACTCATCGTCAACAGCTCCTTCCAGCTACTCTCTCCACCTGTACTCATCAACACACACCGCCTCCATTCCTCGCCTCCCCTTTACTCTTTGATCCACTCCAGGATCTGCTGACCTCCCACCGCTCCCCTGAAATGGTTCACCAAGGACCCCAAGCACCTCAGTGCAGACACTTTCTTGTGCTTCTACATGGTTATTTTAGTCAGACACTCAGGGTCACTCCATCTGGTGTCCTACCCTCTTCTGGGAATATTTTCCTCTCTGGGATTTGTGACACCATACTACCTTAATTTCCCTGATTTCACTGGCTGCTGCTTCTTGGTGACTCTGGTAAGGTGTCCTCTACCTGGCCTCAGTCATCTCACTCGATACTAAACAATACTAATAACAGTAATATATAATAGTAACAGAACAATAGTAATATTATCCCAATGCGGATCTCTCCTCCAAGCGCCAGACTCGTGTGCTTGCCAGCCTCCCTGACAACACGCCTAGAGGTCTCACGGCCATCGCAGACACATGTACCACCAGACTCCTGATCTTCCCATCTCCGAAAACTCTTCCTACTCTACTTCTAGCCATGAACAAATGACACCAGAAATTTAAGAATTTATTCATTCATTTGTTCAACAAATATTTGCTGAGTACTTAACTACATGCAGGTCATTGAAGATACAGTACTAAACAAACATAAGCATGGTCTCAGTCTCCAAGGAGCGTAAGGAGTAGAAGGAAGGAAAGGATTTCTCTCTCTCTCTCTCTCTCTCTCCCCCTCAGGGTGAGTTGCGTGGGATCTGAGGATAATTTAACTTATTCAGGGTTCAGAAGCCAGGGAAAGCTTCTGAGAAAGTGGGCTGCGATCAGAAGGATAAGAGATTACTAGCAAAAGACAGGGAAAGAAAAGCAATCCAAGCAGGGGCAACAGCATGTGCCAAGGCCCTGAGGCTGGGAGGAGAAAGGGATAAAGACAACCTGCAATTCCTGAGTGCTGGAATGAAGAAAGGAGGCTGGGGTGTGGTATGGAAGGAGGAACGAGACATAGGCTGGAGCCAGATCACTTTAGGAATAATCCTTACTTTTATCATTCCCCAGACAAACAGGGGTTGTGGATTTTACATCCCAAATACAGCCCGTCTCAAATCATCCTCTTTTCCCCATTTCTATACTACCTGCCTTCGTCTCTCTCCTGGATGCTAAACTATCTCTGTAACGGTCTCCTCGTTTCCATCTCCAGCCCCCATACGATTCACCAAGCTCAAGCCAGAGCAATCATTTTAAACATGCAAACTTGCTGTCACTGCCTCTGCTTAGAATCCCCGACTCTCCACTGTACTCAGATAAATCCAAATTCCTCTCAAGACTAAACACCAAGCCTGAGACTTATAAGAGTAAAAACAGAACAGGCAGCAACCTAACCAACCAGTGAAAAAGAGAAAGAAAACAATGACATGTAAACTTGGGAACATAAAATATTTGCCATGCAAATAACAGACAAAGGGTTAAAGTTACATGCTCTTACAAAACTGGCAATAAAATGAGAGTGGCCCTGAAGAAAAATGTACAAAGGATATACCAGGAAATTCTCAGGATGGATTTAAATACCTTACAAAAAATATGGAAAGGTGTTCAAATATACCAGCAATAAAAATTAAAGTAACAATCAAGTTTTACTGTCTACCCATAAACTCAGTAAATTTAAAGTTTAAAATCAGTGTGTCCTTTGATCTGGTGAACTCCTTCCTGGGAGTCGGTCCAGTGGAAATAAAAGTGCTGGTGTGTAGAGATACACGCACAAGGATGTGGCAGCATTATTGGTCGTGGCAGAAAAAGGAAACAAGGTGAATGACGTAGGGGAGGATGGTTAATAATCATGGCGCCATCACCACACAGACATAAAAACAAGGGATGAGAACTCCATCGGGGAGCCTCACGGGGTCTTCGTCAGACACTGGATGAGCAAACAAAGTGCAGGGTGAGGAGAGGGCCCATCATGAGCTTCCCAGTCAGTGGGCTTCACTTTCCTCAGAACATGCCCTGAGAATGATGCTCACAGTCGGGGGGTCTTACTGAGACTGTGACGGCCCCAAAGCACCACGGTTTCCAAAAGCCTGAACCCACTTTCTAGGAACATCTGGATACATCCTCAAAGAAGTTCATGAAAACTGCAAGAGCAGGCCGCGAGAGCGCCCGTTAAAACCCCACCTTGGCGAAGGCGTCCCTGCCATAGCTCGCTTCCTGCTCTGTGTGCTGCTTGTCGATGATGTCCCGGCCTGTGGCCACTGTCCGGTAGAGGAGGGCTTTCTCAACCATGTCGGTCTTGGTGGAGAGCAATTCTGCTATGATAGATACAACCTTGCCATTTTCAATGAGGGGCGTGTCACCATCCACCACAAATTTTAAATTTCCCTAAAAACAAAACAAAATAAAACCAGACACACCATTTCCAGCCCGATTCTGAAACATTACATCAGGGCTATATTTGCCAATTCAAGATGAAATTCAACATGACCTAGCTTGTAGCACGGATTTTCCTAAATACGTTACACACATATAAAAATCTAGCGCTTCATTCATTGCTCTTCTCCTGACACCCATCTATCTTTTCATTTTCAGTATAGTTTCTGATGGATAGAGGTTTTTATATCAAATACACAGCCTTTCCCCTTACATTTAAGCTTCTAACTCACTTAGAATTCATGTTGTTGTGTAGCACAAGGAATTGAACTTTATTTTTTCAGATGGTTAATTAGTTGCTCCAATATTATTTATTGAATGAACAGTTAAACTTTTCCTGCTGATTAAAAATGTCACCTGTATTATATATTAAATTCCCCCCTCCAAATTTCTAAGTCTATTTATACTTTATTTACTCAATAAGCAATAGTTATCAACCATCTACCAACTGTCCAGAGCATCAATCAATCTTTAATTAACCTGATGATATATTTGTGCAATAAGTTTTAAAGTACTGTCGCTTATACTATCATTTTAAATCTGGTAGAATTCATCATGTCCCCTCTCCTCCCTTCCCCCTACCTTTCTACTCTTCTTTAGTACATTTATTTGATCTTCTTACATGTTTATTGTTCTGGGTAAACTCTAGAGTCGTTATGTACTTAAAAATAAAATCACTGTTTGGCTTCTGAAGGTTATTGCTGCATCTTATTTATAAACTGGTTGAAAGAATGGGACAATTAATAATGTTAAAGTCTTCCTAGTTAGGGACATTTCTTTAAGATAACAGTTACATTGCCCTATAATATTTTTCATATGGGTTCCGCACATTTCATTAGAAGTTAAGTCTTGCCATGTTAAAGTAAAAGGTAATTTTTATCCCAGATTTGAATCCATGTTGTCCCTGATTTTTTCTAAGGTTCCATGTTCATTACATTTTCAACATCTACAATTACACAAACAGTGCTGAAAGACATCTGACACACGGACCCCCATGTCTTTGGAGTTTGCCAAGGTGTCGGAGAAAACGACTGGCCCAGGAGCCGGCCAACCTGGTCTGCAGCGCTGGCCACCATGACCTGGCTGTGCCTTTGAGCCAGACATGCCACCTGTTAGGGCTCACTTCCCAACACGAAAATGAGATGATCAAAATTCCAGTGCTGATGATTTAGGATTCTATGTCTCAAGTGCTTTTAGAAATCTATTCTGTTCAAAAGTGTTTAGCTCATACCACTGGTAGTCACATGATTAGTGAATATGTTGATCTTTGGAATTAAACAGTTCACAATCTGATATGCCAGTAAGACAATTAACTAAAGCTAAGTTTTAAAACCTACAGTGTTTAGAAAATCTCTCATAATAGTATAAAATGATGGAGAGAACCACAGATACAGCAATCTCTTCAAAACGTGAGAGAGATTTTCTTCATATAGATTACTTTTTAAATCTACAGGGAAAAGTGAAAATCTTCCTCAAGAGCCTCCTGTTACCACAGGGAGGCAATATACTCTGAAAGGTGTCTCTACTCACCAAGTGAAGAATGGCAGCCAAAATTTTATACGCTGTTTGAATCTCCTCAGGTTTGAAGCCAATTACTTTCATGGCTTCAGCTACTACTTTGAATTCTGCAGCGTCATTGATGGAAGACTGGGAATGAAAATGGAGAAGTTAGGTCATCGACATTTTAGAGGAGCATTAAAATCTAACAATTATGAGACTAACAGTCAAGTTTAGCCAAGGTCTTAATGCTGTTGTAGTAATTCGGCGAGTACCTTGAGGAAAATAAAAATTATTTCAGGGATAGAAACATCACTCAGCACATACAATGTCCACTTGTGTGTGAGATGGCCACCATCATGCAAAATAAGCATCACAGACTTTTCTGGAACCTTCAGGCAGGGAGCAAATCCTGAGCTGACTTGCAGAAGCTGACTGCTACTCTGTCACGAGTGAAGAAAACATGGGACGTGGACTCACACATGGAAATACCAACCGTGGGAGCCTCCAAGACATATGCCTGGCTATTGTTACCTGTGGCTTTTTATTCCAGAATTAGCCTTCTTGTACAGGCTGGGAATAACACCTACTCTCTTGAAGGCTTTTTATTTCCCAGGTGGGGAAAAGCAGGCCTCCCAAAGCAAAGTGGCCTGCCTTAATCATTCAACACGCTATTAAATATTCTGGGATCACAACCACTTTTTCACAAACACGCAGTGCATCAGATCTTCTAACTGATTGGCAGGGGGTGCTATAGATTGGATGTTTGTATCCCTCCAAAATTCCTATGCTGAAATCCTGACTCCCCTCACCCTCCAAATGTGATTGAAATTAGGAAGTAGGACCTTTGGGAAATAATTAGGTCACAAGGGTGGAGCCGTATGGATCAATAAATGGTATCAGTGCCATTACAAGAGGACCCGGAGATTCCTGGTCCCTTCTGCTCTGTAAGGACACTGAGAAGGCCCCATATATAAACCAGGAAGGAGGCCCTCACCAAATCTGCAGGTGCCTCAACCTTGAACTTCCCAGCATCTAGAACAGTGAAAAATAAACATTTGTTGTATAAAAGCTACCCAATTTTTGGCATTTTTGTTGTAGCAGCCCAATTAGAATAAGACAGGGGTTCAAAGATGAATCACCAGCCTTGAGGAACTGCAGCCATCAGGCCAGAAATACAAACACGTCAACAAAAATTCACAGTGAAGCGATGGGTAATTGCCCATCTCAAAAGCAGCAGCTCCAGAGGGCCTAAGCCTGACTGGTCCTCTCCTTGGTGGGGAGGGGTGTTCTGCAGCAACATCAAGGGGCTGGCCTGATGCTTGTCTTGTGAGAAGGGGTGCGGAAAGGGGCCCCTGTGCCTGATGAGCACATGTTCCTCTAGTACCTAGGACACAGCCAGGCAAGTTCCTCCACCTCCCTGGTTCTCTGACCTTGGGCAAGATACTTATCCTCATCGAGTCTCAATTTCCTTATGATGAAATGGGCATAATGATGCATTTCTCACAGGGCTGTTGTGAGAACTGAATTAGAATTATGGAAGATGCCTCCTTATAGTTGCCAGCACATAAAAAGCAATTGACAAGTATCAGATATTAGTATTATTAGAAGCTGCAACTGTGCTAGAATTGCACAGAAACTAGAAAAGTCTAAATGCCCTGCTTCGGGAAGTGTGGGCTGCTAGCGCCCTGATGGGTACATGTCTCCCCAAGTACACGTGTCCTTCAGGACCGGTGTCCCCACAGCCTCGGGGAGTAAATCTTCACTGGTGTAAACTAATCCCAGTGACAGGTGACTTCATAGCCACGGGCTTGTGATGCTATTCTGAGGTTTCCCTAGCTAACACGGGACGTAAGCCCAGAACATTTCCTAGGCCTGTGGCTCCCGGAACTCTTGCTACTGCTCTGGGACCACGAGGACAATCAGCCCATGCACACACTCAAATGCAGGGAGGGGGGAAGAGCATGAAGGTGAAGAAATGACATCCTGATCCCCACTGATGTTGCGAAGGTATTAAATTAACCAACTCTGGAACTGTCAGGGCTTCTCGTTGCAGGAGATAATTAAGTTCCTCATTGTTTGTGGGGGCTTTTAATTGGGTTTTATCTTCCCTTCAACCCAAAGTATCTTTAATAAAAAACGGTTCCTATATTTTAGGGTAGTTAAGTAAAACTATGATACAGAGTGTAATAATTTATAGTTGGGGTGCCTGGGTGGCTTAGTTGGTTGAGCGTCCGACTTTCACTTAGGTCATGATCTCACGGTTCGTGGGTTCGAGCCCCGCGTCAGGCTCTGTGCTGACTGCCAGCTCAGAGCCTGGAGCCTGTTTCAGTCTGTGACTCCCTCTCTGACCCTCCCCTGCTCACGCTGTCTCTCTCTCTCTGTCTCCTAGAAATAAATAAACATTTAAAAAAAAAATAATTTATAGTTATTAAAATCATTCTATTAACTTACATTTAATTATTTGTTAATGGAAAAATATTAATAATTGTAATGTAATTTAATAAAAGTGAGTTTATTTAATCAGAGTTTATTGCCTGATTCCATTTATAAATATATAAACACAGGGGTGCCTGACTGGCTGGGTCAGTGAGGCATGTGACTCTTTTTCTCAGGGTGATGAGTTCAAGCTCCACGTTGGATGCAAGGATTATTTATAAATAAAATCTTTAGAAAAAGAAGAGGAAAGAAAGGAAAAGAAAAAGAATATACATAAACCATTATCAATAACTACCTCTGGATGGTAAGCTTTACTTATTATTTAGTTTAGTTATTATTTATTTTTATTTTCTTTTGGTGCTTCTTTATTTTAGGTTTTGACTATGATCACGCATTACATCTTTGTTTCTGTGAGAGAGGAAGAAAAAGAAAGGCAGAGAGAGAAGAGGAATGGGAAACTCCTGAAAAGGGAATCCAACCTACACTGAGCTTAGAGTGAAGGCTTTCAGTGAGGGCACCACATGATTGTGTCAAAAGTAATTTGGTCAGTAGATAATTGGATTAAATCTGGTCACTGCCTTTTTTTTTTAAATGTTTATGCTGAGAAAGAAAGAGTGCAGGGGCGCCTGGGTGGCTTAGTCGGTTAAGCGTCCGACTTTCGCTTGGGTCATGATCTCGCGGTTCGTGGGTTCGAGCCCCGCGTCGGGCTCTGTGCTGACTCCCACAGACCCTCTCTCTCTGACCCTCCCCTGCTCACACTGTCTCTCTCTCTCTCCTAGAAATAAATAAAACATTAAAAAAAAAAATTAAAAAAAAAAAAAAAAAAGAGTGCAAGTAGAGGAGGGGCAGAGAGAGAATCCCAAGCAGGTTCTGAGCTGTCAGCACAGATTCCCCATACGGGGCTCAAACACGCAAACCACGAGACCATGACCTGAGCGGAAACCAAGATTTGGATGTGTAACCGACTAAAACCCCCTGGACGCTCCTCTGGTCATTGGCTTTCTAAGTGCCAGTTTCACAGTCCCCTTCTAGTCTTTGAGAGTTGCTCACCTCCTCTCAGAAAGCTCAAGTGTTGCCCTCTATTGTCTTGCTTGTTTTCAATTAATTTTCACCCAAACATCCTGCTCCGAGATGATTATAAAAGCAAACAAAACAACTATGCAACTTGAATGTCAAACAACGGAAAATTAATCATGAAAGCCTAAATATCACTTCTTTCCACGCATGACAATAAAAATAAGGCTAAATCAGCAATGCAGGTATAATTTGCTTCAGATGAATAATAATAAGAAAAAAAAAGAAACACCTCCCACATCTTGGATCCTTTCCTTTTCTTTCCTTTTATAAATTCTTTTATTTTTCCTCTGACTACAAAAGCAATGTATTTTTTACTATAGAAGAAATTTAAAATATGGAAGAGCACAAGAACACGAATACCTGTAGCCTCCTCCAACCTGAATCAGTAATTAAAGCCTTGGTCTATTCCCCTCCATATCTTACTTTATATATTTATACACCTTCCCCCCCAACAAAGTAGGATAATACTGTAATTACCATTTTATAACCTACCATCAACAAACTACTATATTATTAGGATTTTTGTAGAGTGACTGGTAGAAAATTAATTAGAAATAAAAAAGGAGAAAAGCATCTGCATATGTGAGTGTAAAGGACCCACATACAAGTGAAGGTAAAACACGTGGAAAATTCTGGAGGCTGAATGAATAGAAATGTTCCAGGGTCACAAAACTATGTATACATCAAAACCAATACTTGAAACAACAGTGAATGGAGATCTTTGATACTCAATTTCAACCAAAGTCCTCTTAATGTTCCTTCTGTCTTCCCAGCTTGCCTGTGGTCAAATCATATGGTAACTTCTTTTGAGGCGGATTTCCTGGTCCTATCAATCTTTTTATAGTGCCAAAAGGAATAGGATTAAAAATTCAAAGAAAACACAAGATCATAAGAGAGAAGCGTCTTTCCTGTCAGATGGTGATGAAATACAGAAATGGTTATTAAGCAAAATTGCTGACCAACAATGTAGTGAATCTCTGTCCCTGAACATTTAAAACCCAGAAGAAGAAGAACAGAGTCACTCATTTGCTTCAAGGCAGCAGGCTGGACCAGATATTTACTTAATGTCCCCTCTGATTCTTTGTCTGATTCTACATCTCAGAGAGGAAGCCCTTACCTTTAACTGGGCTCCTACATGAATATAGTTGTAGGATGACAGGGATTTCTGGAGATGTAGAGAGCGAAGTATCTGATCTGTACCTCCTTGGAGTAGCTGAAAAAATAATTAGAAAGAATTGGTAAGATACATACTGAACCAAATACATCAAACATTCTGACGATGGTAATCGTGCTTTTACTATGGTCATTCGTTAAATGAGGGCCTGTGTGTTGTGGTGGACGCTTGCTAAGCAGCCTCATTATCTAGAAAGGATCAGGTTGCATTTCAGAATTCAGAAAAAGTCACAGAAGTAAGAGGCATCAGCAGATGGTCACACGCTGAAACACACTGGAAACACAGTCTCCCCTCATCAATCTCTATATCCAAGGCAGGAGCACTACTGGATAAATAACCATGACTGCAGTGTTGAACAAAGACCAATTTTCCACACTTTCATCCAGTGGGAAAAACACTGGGAAGAAGTTATGGGTTTGGAAAATAAAAGGAACTCTTCTACATTTGGTAGAAAAATAGTTCAATGAAAACATGGTGAACTGTCAACAAAAACACAAGCACAATACGGGTAGCCTTTCTACACAGAATATGCCTTTGGAAGACACCATGTTTAAATTATCTACATTAAACTGTACGCTTTGTTTTACTTAAAAGGTATAATCATCAGATTTTTAAAAGTGATCTTTTAAATTAAATATACCAGAACTTGTACATGCAAATGAGCACCATCTATTAAAACAGTTCCCTGAATTGTAGTCAGCTTAACACGGTCACTGCTCAATTACCTGCAGAAACAGTTTCCATAGGAAAATCAATCTGATTTATAGTTTTACTTCCTACAAATCCCAAAAAGCATTGCTTCATTTGATCATCCGCTTTATTTATTAGCACTGGTTTATTTTACTTTTGGCTTTAAAAATTGTAATAATATATCGTAGTTGTTCTCTGAGCATGAAGACTTGCTACCAGAAAGGCTATTTTAAAAGATTTTGCCTTAAACTCTACAAGCATTCTCAAAAGACGTATCAGATTGTTTTCTAAGCAATCACAACTTTGATGGGATAAAGAAGACAATTCTCCCTTGCATTCATAATTGTTTCAAGTAATCATCTTGCTTTATAGCCTCCATGAGCAAAATAAAACTGAAGTTGTATTGCTCCGCCTGGGGCTCCCAAAAATGGGAACAACAGCTTCGATTAAAAATAAAACACAATTAATTTAACATATTCGGAATTTACCATTTCAAAAGCCTTGACAGATATTAAACTATTCTCTATTCTGCAAAAAAAAAAGTGATGCTCCATGAAGGCAGTCAGTCTGATGGGTTAACCACCTGCTAGCTCTTTGTAACGATCAGGCTCACCACATCTTAGAAGCAGCATGTGGGGTAGGGCACGTGCACAAGTGTCTAATGTGTTGTGGGCCAATGAAGGCGATGGATGCTCAGGACGGGGTGGGGTGGGGTGGGGGCGATATAAAAGATTCGTCCTTGGTACAACTAGGCAAATGATCAATTACCTGAACAAGAGCAAGTACTAACCTGATAGAAAGAATGGAAGCTTCTTTCTCCTGGCTGTTGCACAATCACTCGAGACTTTAAAAAAACAAAACAATGAAATTGTTAATCTGAGAATGCACCCCAAAAACAAAATGAACGTCACAATTCTCAGGAAATCGTATACCAACAGTGCATTTAAATGTCCTAATAGACCCCGTGGATTACCCATCTAAAACTAGGCCTCATCTGTGGGTTTTCTTGTGTAATTTTTTTTTTAATATTCTTTTTTTTTTTTTAATATTTTTTATTTATTTCTAGGAGGGGGAGAGAGAGAGAGAGAGAGAGACAGCGTGAGCAGGGAAGGGTCAGAGAGAGAGGGAATCACAGACTGAAACAGGCTCCAGGCTCTGAGCTGGCAGTCAGCACAGAGCCCAACGCGGGGCTCGAACTCACGATCCGCGAGATCATGACCTAAGCGAAAGTTGGACGCTTAACCGACTAAGCCACCCANAATCACAGACTGAAACAGGCTCCAGGCTCTGAGCTGGCAGTCAGCACAGAGCCCGACGTGGGGCTCGAACCCACGAACCGTGAGATCATGACCTAAGCGAAAGTCGGACGCTTAACCGACTAAGCCACCCAGGCACCCCTTTCTTGTATAATTTTTAATATTTTTAAAAAGATTTTTTACTGCTTAAAAACGAATGCCTTAAACTTTCTGAAAATAAAACTTTTCATTTTTTTCTAACCCGGAGCCTAAAGATGGAATTTTTAGGGGGAGGAATATTGGACGTGGGAGAACAGGAAGGAATGTTTAGGGAGTAATAGTCATAACATTGCCTTCCCCCAGGCCCTGCCTGGCATTCCAAAGAGCAATGCCTTGTATCCTGCAGGAAAATCAGTTGAGCAAGATCAGTCTATAGAGGCCCTTGTCTTAGATGGCTCCCAAAAGACTATGAGAAGGCTCAAAAGTATGTTCATTCAAAGGGGTCCTTTTGACTGACTGTGTATATACAGTGAAGCCGTAAAACATTTTGGAAAAAGACTGATAATATCTGGGATTTCCAGTCCTTCTGTAATGGACACTGATAAAAACACTTACTTCCTGAACAGTCTGACTTCAACTTAACAACAACAACAAAATAGATTATACTGGGCGCCTGGGTGGCTCAGTTGGTTGAGTGTCTCGCTCTTGATTTTGGCTCAGGTTGCGATCTCACAGTCACGGGATTGAGACCCGTGTCAGGCTCCATGCTGAGTGTGGAGCCTGTTTGGGATTCTCTCTCTTCCTCTCTCTCTGCCCCTCCGCCCTGCTCACACTAGAAACCAAAAGAAAATGAGATTCAAATGAATATAGATGGGAGTATCAAATCAATATGTTATATATCTTACACATACACAATGTGAAAGGTCAATTATACCTCAGTTAGAAAAAGACTGTTGTGTGGCATGATTCTGTGAGGAGAGTGTTATTCCAGAGACTGGGCCTCCTGTGCACTAAGGAAAACAACATGCAGACACATGGGTGTGTCAACAGTGTAGAACTGACTAGTCCTGGGCTGGTCTTTGACCAGACCTCACCCAGAGGGTGGCACACACTCGAATACCACTCCTGCCCCCACCACAAACGCCCCTACATCCTTATCTACAAAGCTGGAACCCTTCCCAAGCCGATGTGTGTATATATATATAAGCTAATATATATATATTATATATATATATATATAAGCTAATAACACAAAAGGAGAATATCTTGTCATGACAGCTAACTGAGAAGTACGAGGGGAAGGAGAATAGGATTAAAAGCTACTTTGAAGTGATTCTAAAAGTTCTATAAACACAATCAGGTTTACACAGAATTCAGCACTTGAAAACATTACCCTCAGAAACGAAGCACATTTTACCTTCTCCAGTAAGTAGTTATTGATGTGTCCACCAATAGGGTCCCCCTTGAAGTCAAAGTTGATGTCCATGTACTTTCCAAACCTGCTGGAGTTGTCATTACGGTTGGTTTTGGCATTTCCAAAAGCTTCCAAGACACAGTTGGACTTGAGCAGCATATTCTTCACTCTTGAATACAGACAAATGAAAGTCATTATAAAGACTTTTAGAGGCTGAGCCTTTTAGAAAACTGGATTTTGTTAAAGCACACCCAAATATTTATACAAAGAGGCTGAGGGCAGTGTTATTTGCCACAGTGAAACAAACCAACCCAAACCTCCCCTAACTGCCCACCAACAGGGTTGGGTAAAATAACTTATTTTCCTACGACAGTGCATGTTGACGGAGAAAGATGTCCAGAACATATTCACGAATGAGAAATTAAGTTGCAAAATAATATGTGTGGCAGGGTCCTTGTATGACTGTGCGTGTGTATGTGCTGACTGTATGTGTATATGCATACACGTTAGTCGATGCTTAAAAAGCTGGAGGGAATAGTACACTTGGCTATAATTATCTAGGTTGACAGAAGAGGAGTTTGTAGAGTGGATTTCAGGGAGCTTCCACCCAGGACAAAAGGCTGTAATATTTAGTTTAAGTGAACATGTTTTATTTGCATAAAGAAAAATCTTTTTTTTAAAAAACATTTTATTTATTTCTGAGAGAGAGAGACAGCATGAGCAGGGGAGGGTCAGAGAGAGAGAGACACACACAGAATCTGAAACAAACTCCAGGCTCTGAGCTGGCTGTCAGCACAGAGCCCGACATGGGGCTCGAACCTACGAACCATGAGATCATGCCCTGAGGCAAAGTTGGACGCCCAACTGATTGAGCCACCCAGGTGCCCCCAAAAAAATCTTTAAAAAAAGATATCTTCCCCAAAGAAAGAATGATACAATTTTTAAAAGTACTTGCTTATAAAGCCTAAAACACTGAAATTTACTGAATTTAGTTATACATTTAAAAATGGTCTTTATTAGTTTAGAAATCGCTCATTTTGTTTGAAGCTATATGAAATCTCCCCTTTGTACTGTTACTTAATTCCTTCTTTATTCAGTGAATGCTAACTTTCTACGAGCAATCTCTGCCAATGGTACTTTTTAACTGCATGCTAGACCTTATTAAATCTTTGTTTTTAGGTCACTGACAGAATTCCCCTCGTAGGGGCACATGGGCACGCCTGCAGAAATAACTTTGGCCACTGAAATAACCTAATACAGATGACTCACAGCTGCTAAGTGACCCCACAACCTTCTTTCCACACGTGCGCACTCCCACACACATGCACACAGGCACGTTTAAAATGTCAGGGGAGGGGGCGGCTCCACTCTTATGGTAAACAAAGGCAACTGTCTTTTTGTTTGTTTGAGAGAGAGGGGAAGTGGCAGAGAGAGGCAGACAGAGGATCCAAAGCAGGCTCTGCTCTATCAGCACAAAGCCGGATGTGGGGCTCAAACTTACATACGTTGAGATCATGACCTGAGTTGAAGTCAGATGCTTAACTGATTAGGCCACTCAGGTGCCCCAAGGCAATTACCTTTAAAACTCTGGTGAGATATGTTCATGACAGACTAGTAAATCTACAAATGCCTTACTCTACTATATCAAGTGAATTTAGAAACAAAATGAAGTTACTTCTCAGCCAGTCATTCTCCTGAGCTGCTATGAAAATTAAGATAACTTACTCATTCTTGTCCTTGTCATAGGAGATTGCAAAGTCAGAATGAGAAGTGGTGATGTGTCACAATTAAGAAAAATGTCTCCTTGGGGCACCTGGGTGACTCAGTCAGTTAAGCATCCAACTTTGGCTCAGGCTATGATCTCATGGCTTTTGAGTCTGAGCCCTGCATTGGTCTCTATGTTGACAGCATGGAGCCTGACTGGGATTTTCTCTCTTTGCCCTTTCCCTACTTGCACTCTTTATCAAAAATAAATAGACATTTTAAAAAAGAAAAGAAAAGAAAAGAAGAAAGAAAGAAAGAAAGAAAATGGGGTGCCTGAGTGGCTCAGTCGGTTAAGCATCCAACTTCAACTTAGGTCATAATCTTACAGTTCATGAGTGTGAGCCCCATGTCAGGCTCTGTGCTGACATCTCAGAGCCTGGAGCCTGCTTTGGATTCTGTGTCTCCCTCCCTCTCTGTCCCTCTCCACCTCACACTCTGTCTCTCTCTCTCTCAAAAATAAAGAAAGGAAGGGAGGGAGGGAGGGAGGGAGGGAGGAAGGGAGGGAGGAAGGAAACGAAGCTTCGATCAGCATGTCTCCCCATATTTATTCCACCCTTACCTTTCAACCTCCGCTCTCTGACTGGGGTTGGTGATGGCCGCAATGTACTGCATAATGTATTTACTGGCTTCAGTCTTACCAGCTCCACTCTCCCCTGGGGGAAAAATTGTGCAAGGCTTAACACTGTACCTTAAACCAAGAGTAAGCTAATTTTTACTAGAATAATTGCAAATTTTGTTGTTATTTACTTAAAATTCTTAAGTTTCACTGTTCACTTTTTTGAGTAATTTCCTCCTAACTTGATAGGTTCTAACAGATCTGAAAATGTTGAAAGAAAAAAATAAAACTACTATAGAAGTAAAATAACCAGTAGACTACAAATCGAGATTTATTTAGCACAAAAATATCAAGGGATAAACTGTGGTAAACTAATTCCTTAGACCAAGGTCTTTGTACTCAGCAGTGACCCCTGAGGATAGCAGAAAAGCAGAAAGCTAGTGCCTCAAATAGTGGCCATGACTAAATTCGTATAACCTTATTCTCTAGAGCAAATTTCTTTTCATCTTCACGAGGATGAAATAATTCCTCCAGAAAATTAAAGTTAGAGTAATTTCAGTGGCAAAACAACACAGCGAGCTCCACACATGGTGTCACAGAGAAAGCATGACAGCCGATGTAAGGCAGGAAGAATGGATCACTTTAGAATGAGCCGCCCGGGGCGTCTGGGTGGCTTAGTCGGTTAAGCGTCCCACTTTGGCTCAGGTCATGATCTCCTGCTTCATGGGTTTGAGCCCCGCGTCGGGCTCTGTGCTGACAGCTAGCTCAGAGCCTGAAGGCTCCTTCGGATTCTGTGTCTCCCTCTCTCTCTCTGACCCTCACCGCCTCATGCTGTCTCTCTCTCTCTCTCTCTCTCTCTCTCTCTCAGAAATAAAAACATTAAAAAAAGAAATTTTTAGAATGAGCTGCCCAAACTGTTAAATGTATATGCCTCCTGACTCAAGAATTCCACCTGCAGACATTTATACTACAGAAATACTAAAAATACAAATATAGGGGCGCCTGGGTGGCTTAGTCGGTTAAGCGTCCGACTTTCGCTTAGGTCATGATCTCGTGGTTCGTGGGTTCGAGCCCCGCGTCGGGCTCTGTGCTGACTGCCAGCTCAGAGCCTGGAGCCTGTTTCAGAGTCTGTGTCTCCCTCTCTCTCTGACCCTCCCCTGCTCACGCTGTCTCTCTCTCTCTCTCTCTCCTAGAAATAAACAAAACATTAAAAAATTTTAAAAAATACAAATAATAAAATAATGCTAAAAATACTCTTCAACGGTTTAAGGAGTATTTCTACAGACTGTGCTATGTGTCACAGCTAAAGTCTGAAAATAAGATGCCTGTCAGTAGAAGACCGGGCTAATAAATGATTCAACTATTCAGTGGAATCCTACACAACTGTTAGAGAATCCCCTGCATCATTAGAGGTATGCTAATGAAAAGATGCCATTCTATGTTGTTAAATGGAAAAACAAGTTATGTAATAGCATTTATGACATAATTCTGTCATAATTATAGGTTTATAATATAATTTCATATGCATGCTTGACTGTATTATATACAGAAAAAATGTATAACAGGACAAACACCTAAATTAACAGCTGTTGCTGTTGCAGAGTTGGGGGTAACAAGGTTATTCAGAGGGAAGGGACTTTCTGCTTTTACTGTAAACATTTATATGACTGTTTGTTCCCTTGTTTCTTTTCTAATCAGGCAATATTGCTTTCATCATTTAATATAACATAGTCCTAGAATACAATTCTCCAACATTAACATTAAGTTACATAACTCCTCTGACCCTTAATATTCTCATCTATAAAGCAGAAACACAACTGTATTACCACTCAACTGTTTTGATAATCAAAACGGAATAAAGATAATAAAAGTAGTTTTAAGAGTATAAAGCCCCTACTGCAGATGTGAGGTATTATTAGCACCAAAATAAATTCCCAGTTTGGGAGAGGCCACCGTGGGTCAGCGGGCAGGTATTTCCCCTGTCCTCCATTTACTACACCAGATCCCTCGCAGAGCGCAGCCCCAGCTCTTGGGCACATGGAGCCTAGAGACAGAGATTGTCACCAGTCTCCCTGCTCTTCAGGCTTCACAGCTCCAGCCACTAGCTCTGACAGCCCATTTCTGGTCCCCCTGCCTGCATGTCCCATGACACCAGGTCCCCCTTTCACCAACCTAAGTTCATTCTTCATTTTTGGTAACTCAGGATTTCATTTTCTTGGTTTCATTCTGCTATTATTTAAAATACATTTTTGTTAACATTTTTTCCAGAACTTTTATGTCTTTGAGAAGGGAGGAGGAATCCTGCATGTTGGCTCAGTCTAGAAAATTGACCAGAAGCCCATGCACACGTAACATGTATGTGCAAATGAGCCGAGACTACACATCAGTCAGACAAGATTTAATAGTTATTGTTCACTGCATTTTTTTCTTCTCCTATAAAACTGCTTACCTTTCTAACTTCAAAAAAGATCTACTGGACAGTTTGGATCCTTGAGTACCTAATAAGTTAAATGGATTTTGACCCTGAAAGCACAGGGGATTCCCTCTGAATACCTGATATCACAATACAAGTGTCTTTTGAGCGCCTCTTCATAGCTTTGTAAGCAGCATCGGCAATTGCAAAAAGATGAGGAGGTCTCTCATACAGCTCACGCCCTTTATACTGCTCAATTGTGTCTCTCCCATAGATGCTCAATGACTTGTAAGGATTCACAGACACGACGACTTCTCCAATGAATGTGTAGATGCGCCCTTTTTCAAATCTGTACAGAAACGAAAGAAATGAAAGAAGAACAGCTATGGTTACAAAGAAACACTGTCTTTCCGACGAGTCTCATTTCCAAGAAAATCAGAACATCCCAGGAACGGTTTCTGAACTGACATTTCATTAATTCTGAATTTAATTTTAGAGACAATGCTCAGGTTGTGCCCTTTCAGATGTTGCTGGCAGAAAAGACTAGTAAGAGTTAAAAGCCAGGGAAGAAGAAAGAATTTCATTTTTTGTGAGCTGGATATCTCCTATTTCCGAGATACAAAAGGATAAGTAGGTGCTCTACTAAGAGCTCTAGTAAGAGGAGAAACACAAGTTAAAGCAGGTCTTGGAATCTACTCGGCCAGATTTTTCAATTATAAAGAAAACTGTCCAAATACATTTCTTTTTTCCCCCGCTCCCGCTTGAATCTGCACTAAAATGTCAGTAAAGGAATAAAGACACTAAAGTTCATAATAGCGAGAAGGGTAGAGGAGACATTTCTGGCATACATCAAATTTATTATTTTAAATGATGGCCTAGAATTCCACAGTATAGATTATCATTCTTTATTCAATCGTTCCCTTCCCTCCTGTTATTATGTAGAAAATATTCCTGACACATAATCTTACAAACCAGTGCTTTTATTCTGTGGGAGAGCTGGTTGAAAGGCATGTGTATTTTTTTTTTAAATTATTGATAATAGGATCCCACCTTTTTACTATAAAACTCTAGAATGGTGCCCCATATATGATTTGTATGTATAACTGTACGTAGCTATATTTGGTAAGGGATTACACAAGCATGGAAAAATATGGAAGCCTACATGTTCTATTTTATGTACCCTTTTATACATATAACATGGTGATGAGGAGGAAGGCCATGTGGGTGGATGGAAGGAAGCTATAGGAACAAAGGGATAAAAAAGTAAAGAAACCCTCTGGTATACTGCACAAAATCATGTGTCTATATTTGCAAAGACAAAATTTAAATATAAAACTTAGAAAATCCATATATAGTCACAGTTTATACATTATTTACACATATAAACACCCACCAACCAGAGCTAGACCAACACCCAAATGGACATCTGTATACAAGTTGTTGCCAACACGTTCTGCCTGCCGAGAGGCACAGGAAGACACAGAGCTCACGTCCAGGAATGAAGGGAGTGCCAACACGGGCAAAATTCTGGTCCCTGGACAGTGACCAGGTCTCTAAGCACTCCTGCTTAGGACCAGCCCAGAAGGGAAATAACTAATTCTTTGAGACCACAAGGCAAGGACCTTACACCTCCTTCACAATGGAATGAAGGCTATTGGCTATAATTAGGAGTGGAAACAGATGCTGATAATCAACAATAAATTAAAACCAAGATCTTTATTAAATAGTTAATGTATATTTAAATAAAAACTATTAATAGCCACTTTAAGAATTTCTGTGCATTTTTCTACTGTGGTTTTCCTATATATGCTAATTATTGGACACAAAGTTTATATGGTGGTTAAAAGCACGGACTCTGGAGTCCTTGACATTTGGGTCTGAATGCTCACACTGCAAATATAATAGCTGTGAGACTTTGTAAAACTACTTCACCTCCATATGTTTTACCTGTCAAATGGACAACTATATCCTGCTCTCGCCTTGGCATTGAGTAAGTACTTAAAAAGGCGGGGGGGGGGGGGATTTATCTTACGCTTCCAATTATGCTCTGCATGAACAATATTTTAATAAATGCTTTTATTTTATTAACATTGCTACTAAAATCACAACAATCCTTATACATAAGGGTAAGGAATCAACTCAATAATTATAATCCAATCCCCTGCCTCAGCTGTTAATCAATGAACAATAAGCCATAAGGAAAATGTCCACATAATTCATGTTCAAACACACCCCCACCCCCACCAAAGTATTAAAAAGCTAAGGTTCACTACCCAAGCCTTTCTGGCTTAACCTGAAAATTTGCAGGACATACTCAACAAACTGTCTTTAAGGATAAGAATTAGAAGGACATAATTTTTTAGTTTTAGAAATGCTGTCCAAATTTGGGGGGCATGGGAGAAGAGGAGGAGGATGTTAGGTAAAAGAGATCAGCTCACAGGTCTGGAGTTCTGTGAAATAAGACACAGCAAATAACACATGAGATCAGAATGCTGTTCTAAGATTCCAGGTCTGCCTAATTAGGAAATTCCATTTTATTCCAAATAGAGTATTTTGTTTATCAAAGCTTCTAGACATCAGGTTTGTAAAACCCAATTAAAATACGTGCATAAAAGCATCAAATGCATAACTATTAAGGTGAAGAGAGTGGCAAAAGGTCAACAAATTACAATATTAAATACAATACTTTGGTAATTTATAAAATGCTAGAAACTTACTTGAAACTTGGTTACCACACATGAAACTTTCAGTTTGGTTAAGGCTTAAATTCACCGCTAGATGGTGCCAGTGTATACTTTAAGAGCAATCCAAGATTCCAATTTGCTTCGAAAAGCCTCAGGGTATGAAATTAACACTAAGGTAATGTAGTCACCTGCTTAGTATGCTTCCATAAGGGACTACTGTAGTGATCCTCGACGATAAATAGGGTGATGCCATCTCTTACAAGAGACCAAGGAAGGCATTTCTATGCCTTCTGCGTGCCAAGCTTGTATGACAAACTTTTATACTGCACTCTTCAAAATTTATTCAATATCTACTATGTGCCAGGCACTGGGCCTGACTGGGAATTAAAAGATGAACAAAGTGCAGGGAAGTATTGCAAATAAATAATAACAATATGATAGGTACGATAATAAAGGCATATACCGTGCTGGCAAAGATGATCACAACACACCCCTTTCAATGAGGAACCTAGAGAATATATTAATACTCTTAAAGAGTATTAATTAAAAAGTAATATACTAAGCCCAGAGCAAGGCACACCAGGCCTTGTGTGTCCTGGCCTCCAAATTTCTCTTCACTTCATTCTCCTAACTATCCACCACACATCCACCTATCAAAACCTCCTGATCGCTTCTTCCATCTCAGTCACCTCTGCTATTACATTAATGAGCTACTTATGGTTCCCAAGGGCACCGCGACCTCATGGTTTGCCCGTGGGTTCATTCTGCCTAGAATACCCTGTCCTCACCCAGTGTCTTCTCCCATCTCAGCAGTTTCCCACTCCTTCAAAAGCAAAATAAAATGAAACAAGACCAGAAAACTTTACCTACTAGGGGACAAGAACCTAGCCACAACTCTGAAACATGACCTGTGAAGAACAGTTGCAAAGAGCCATGAAAAGCAGATGTGGGGGAGGGAGGCTGCCCGGTGAGAAGAGGCGCCTGTGCGCGTGCCAGGCTCCAGGGCAGAGCTCCCCACAAGAGGGCTGAGGTTCTCCAGAGCCAAACCATCTGTTCCTAAGAATGGCAGAGTCTTCGGGTGCTGGTGGCTGTGTGACCAAAGGGGTCCCATGTGGCATCTGAATAGTTGCAAGATGGGACTGAATGAAGATGAGTAGACATTACATTGTTGCAATTACACTGCAGTTAATTACAGTGTGGTGAGGCAAAAGAGAAAAAGCAGGTACAATTGCTCTGCAGCAGCTGATCTTGATCAAGGAAAACAGGTGCTGCTTAGTGACCTCCCAGATGTCTCATGGCATGCTGACAGGGCTGGCCTGCTAGTCAGGCAAACTCCTTGCCATTTCAAAGTGCTGCTGAGAAATGGTTTAGAAATAACTGAGCCTGAGTGGCTCAGTCAGTTAAGCGTCTGACTCTTGATTTCAGCTCAGGTCATAATCTCACAGTGTGTGGGTTGGACCCTGGCACAGGGAGTGCAGAGCCTGCTTAGGATTCTCTCCCTCTCTCTCTGCCTTCCCCTGCTACTGCACACACACTGTCTCTCTAAAATAAATTTTAAAAATTAAAAAAAACAACAATTCTAAACTCAGTTATCTACTGGCCATTCCACATATTCTCTTTCAACAACTAACTAACCCAGAATGAAGCAGCCACATCTACTCAAAGACGGTAATAATCAAAAGTGACCCAGAATGGGGCCCAGGGTAAGAAAAACAAGGCAAAGGAACTGAGAGGACAAAAGGCAGATTGAGAATACCCATGAAAAATAGGGAAGTCATAAAGGAGAAAAACTATGGGAAAATGTTTCTGCATGGAAGCAAAGAACATAAAGAAAATAAAGCCCTCTAAACCAAGAGATCAGTGAAAACATCACTTAAAAATAGAGAAATCAGGGGCGCCTGGGTGGCTTAGTCGGTTGAGTGTCCGACTTTCGCTTAGGTCATGATCTCGCGGTTCGTGGGTTCGAGCCCCACATCGGGCTCTGTGCTGACTGCCAGCTCAGAGCCTGGAGCCTGTTTCAGTCTGTGATTCCCTCTCTCTCTGACCCTCCCCTGCTCATGCTGTCTCTCTCTCTCTCTTAGAAATAAATAAAACATTAAAAAAAATTTTTTAAAAATAAATAAATAAAAATAAAAATAGAGAAATCAGGTGTGCCTGGGCGGTTCTGTTGGTTGAGCCTCCAACTCTTGATTTTGGCTGAGGTCATGATCTCACGGTTTGTGAGATGGAGACTCACATTGGGCTCTGCACTGACAGTGAGGAGCCTGCTTGGGATTCTGTCTCTCCCTCTCTTTCTGCCCCTCCCCCACATGCATGATCTTTCTCTCTCTCAAAATAAATAAACTTTAAAAAAAAATTTTTTTTTTAATGTTGTATTTCTGAGAGAGAGAGAGACAGCGTGAGCAGGGGAGGGTCAGAGAGAGAGGGAGATACAGAATCTGAAGCAGACTCCAGGCTCTGAGCTAGCTGTCAGCACAGAGCCTGATGCGGGGCTCAAACCCACGAACCGTGAGATCATTACCTGAGCTGAAGTTGGACGCTTAACCGACTGAGCCACCCAGGTGCCCCTGAACTTTTTTTTAAAACAGAGAAATAATGCTTAAAACCATTTTTTGAAAAAGGAGATGAGAACCAAAGAGCTTAAGGAAACAATGGAAGAGGAGAA